AAGCCCTGGAGAGCAGCTCCCTCAGCTGATCCAGGGCAGGGTGGAGACCCCGGGGTGCCTTAACTCCTGGGATGAGGGGCTGAAACGATCTCATCCTCTGGGGAGGGTGGAAGGCTTTTTTTTCAGCAGAGAGATTTACCCTGCGGGAATCCAGGGAACCCACAGACCGCTGATGGGAGCCCCGTCCCCGTGGAGATCCTCTCCTCCTGGCAGTGCCCTGTTCTCCCACAGAACACGTGAATTCCTCCATTTTCACACAACTACCTTCACTTCTCTCTGCCCTGGATAACAGGGAGGTGTTCACTTGCCTGTCTGGAAAGAAGAGTTGGACTGAAAGCGGAGTCTGCCTCCTCCTGCAGCCACAGGGACGGCTCCCTTTATCCTCCCCCATAAATAATAGAAGGATTCATTCACAGGCTTGTAACAGATTAAAAATATATAAATAAAAAAGAGCTTGATTTTGTTTTGCCAATCATGCACTCAGTGTAATTTTCCCTCCTCATCCCCTTGTGCCAGTGCATGTGGACTCACAGAGATTTTAATAAGCTGGAAAGGCGCCAAACCATTTCTGTCTCATTAAAAAAATATCAGCCCGGTGATAAAGGTAGTTTTTTCACATCAGCAGTCAAATCCACTTGCTGAATTAAAATCCAGCTGACGGGGAGACTATCAATTTTTAATGGGAGCTTCCTCCCTCCTGGAAAGGGGAAGCATTGGGGGGGTTATTCATAAAAGGGATCAGCATTTCTCACAACGTTCTGCTGGCTTCTGTTTCATGTGAAGCTTGTAGACAATTCTCTATAAACCCAAGTGAGGGATTACAGCAACCCTCTCCCAGGCAAACACCCTTCCAGGAGCTTCCCAGGCAGCACCCAGAGCCCAGGCCCAGGTTGTCCCATCACAGACATTCCCTCCTCCCACCACACGTGCTGGGTCAGGGCAGGGGCACCGCAGAGGCAGCCGAGCTTTGGGAGCTCGGGGACAGCCTGGAGCAGGTCAAGGGTGGGGAGAAATCCCGAAAGGAAGCTCTGGCTGAGCAGATAAGTGATGCACGTGCGTGGAGAGTCCGGCCCCACGGGCTGACCCTTCTCTCCAGGGGCCATCCCCGCGCTGAGTCGGCAGCAGAGCTCCCTTCGCTCCGGCACAGCCACAACAATTTACACAAGCTGCAGCTCTGCCCCTGCGCCCAACACAAAGCCTTTGTGTGGAGGAACCAGCAATTCCCTTCCCCCCCCAGAGCTGCTTTCCCAAGACAGCCGTTTTCCGTGTTTTCTTTCAAGTGACACAGGAGGATCCCGAGCTTCCCACGCTGAGGATCCGCAGTGTCACCCACCCTGCCCGGTGGGGGACCAGCCCCGCTCCTCTCCCACCACTGCAAAGAGCAACCTGAGCTCTCCAGTATCTGCTGGACAACGTCCTTCTCCCTTTCTCCAGCACCTGCTGCTCCCTGGACTGGTTACCTCACTGCAGCAGCAGAGCTGGCTCCGGGGGTTGCATCAGGCACCGCTGCTCCCGTGTCGTGTCCTGCCCCTTCTCCAGCCGTGGCCGCTGCTCGGGACACGCAGCTCCAGCTCCATCCCACGCACAAAGGCCACATTGATGCCGTGGGTGCCAGGGATCCGTGGGGTGGATCATCCTGCCTTGGTGTGGGGGGAAGGAGGCTCCGGCTCCTCATCCCTGCTGTGTTGGCTCATCCCAGCACACACAGCCCGGCCTGGTTGGGGAAACAGAAGGGGAGTTAAAAATGATTCCTGACCCCCTCCTGGGCTGGGCGGCCTCCCCCAGTCCTGGCTCGTGGCCCGAAGGTCAAGTGCTGCCCCACTGGCTCTGGCAGGTGTCCAACACACAATTCCCAAGGGGTTGATCCCAAACGAGCAAAACCAGAATCTGCCACAATAGGAACTCTACAGGTGATTATTTGATGATGAAAACACCTTCTTGCACTGAAGGCTCAATCACCCCCCACTCTGGCAACCCCGACCCGAGGCCCAGCACCGACCCCAGCCCTGCTTTGGGAGCCAAGATCCCGCAGTGCTGATTTTTGGGATCAGCCAAATGCCATGGCACAAAGGGGCGTGGATGGCACCGCGTGGCTGCCATCCCCAAGAGTCACCTGCCCCCCAATCCCAGCCTCAGTCACCCACCCTGGGGTGTCCAACGCTGACTCACCTGCCCCGGGAGCTGCCCAGGCCCCATTGCAAAATCCAACACTCCCAGCCAAGGAAGAATTCCACAGGATCTTCCCTGCCTGGGAGACAGGCGGGATCCACACAACACCACCCGTCCAAAAGTCAGGCTGTTGATTAAAGTCTGGAAATGCACAATGGCCTGTTCCATTGTGCTCAGCTTTAATCAGCTTTTTATTGTCCTCAAGGAGATATCCAGGTAATTTACTGGAATGAGTAAGGCCTGATCCAGAGACACAGAATTCCACTGGAACTGTCAGGGCAGTGACTGCTTCGCTGGATACGTTGGTGACACCGACAATGGACTTTGAGCAGACAATTCAAGGGTTTATGGGATGATCCTGTGCTAAATCATAAGTTACCACACACAGCAGCTGAAACTCAGTCAAAACACAGCTCTGTGCCCTGCTGAGATCTGCTCCTCCAGGAGCTGCTTTTTATACCACAACTCACATGTCTGGAGGTTTGGTGCTTGAGGAATGCAGTAAATCAGAGTGCAAAACTGCACTGTGATGTTTGAGCTGCTCCTCCCAGCCCAGAGCCCTCCCTGCAGCCCTCCCTGCCCAGCCCTGGGCTGGGGAGCCTCATTTGGGTCACACACGGTAGGGCTGAGCATGAGGGAGCCCTGATGAGCCAGGCTTAGTGATGAGCCAGGCTTAGTGATGGCTCTGAGCACAGAGCTCTGCCTCAGTGCTGCCATTTCTCTCTGACATCACAGCAGGAAGCACAAGGCCCTGTCCAGAGCAGCAGCTGAACAGTTCTGTGTCCTGAGGCAATTCACCACCCAAGTTTCAATGTAAACCCACACAGGACTCCCAGGCCAACTGCCAAAGTCACACAAGTGGAAAAATTTAATAATCCAGCACCGAGTTTCTATAAACTTTGAACTCTTGCACACACACACACACACACCTGCCATTGTCCCACCTGTTGACACAACAAACACATCTTTCTTTTGTGGGAGCTACAGAGACTGACCTGTCCATGACTCACTCCGGCCTCGCTCGTGCAGACTCATCTTGGGTTAAATTATTTAAGCCGGCTAAACCTGAGTGAGGCTATTTTTTTTGTGCAGTTAGATATAATCCCTGCAGCAAGCCCTTCCTCTAAACCCTGTACCTGTCACTTCAGGAAGATGGCCTGGATCAAAACCCCAACGTTCAGCAGATCCACCACAAAAAGAGCCAGTGAGATCCACGCAGCTTCTGCCCCGTCACACCAGGCACCTGCACAGCCACTTCTTCAACTACAGCAGCTACAAATCAAAGGGTGAAAACCAGAGAGAAGAGGTTTTAACCAAGAAGCTGGAGCGGTGAAGGGATCAGACAAGTTTGGGTTTGGATGATGGGATGTCAATTAGGGGATGAGGAGTGAATTCGGTGATGTCAGTCAGCAGCTTCCCAGGACAAAGCTTTGCAGCATGGACACAAATGGAAATCAGCCCAGCAGAGATTCTGTGCTGAAAAACATCCAAGCAGCAGCCCTGAGAGCAGCAAGAACAGTGAGAGCTCAGGAGAGGGCTGGTTTATTCCTTGAGTGGTATTTAAATGTTAGTACTTGAATGGGTTAAGTAGGAAGGAATTAAAACATTCAGCTAAACACAACTTAGCAGTCACACTCCTCTTAAAGAGCACATTTAATTGCTCTTTTTAAACCCAAACCACTCTTTAGGGATAGATGAAAAAAGAGGAGGGAGCACCAACAATAGAAGCTCCCAAGGAGAGAGGTGGGGGAACATCCAAAACCAGCAGTGAGGCCCTTTATCAGAGTCCTGGAGGCAGGAGATGGAAAGAGGTGTGAGGGAAGATAAGCAGTGACTCAGGTGCTGAACATATTTAAAGAACTTCTATTAGTGCTAAGATTAAAAGGCACTGGGAGGTCACCAAACCCAGGTGGAAGCAAGATTGGGATGATAAAAGGAGGAGGCATTAACCCTTGGGGAGCTGCAGAGCCCCGGGATGTGCCTCCCAGGAACATCCCAGGGAAAATCCAAGGGAAGGAGCCCCAGATCAGCACGTCCCATGTCCAGGTCTGTGGTTTCAGAAGCACCAAATCCACTCAGATGGACTTTGAGAAATGTCTTTGTCCAGAAGCTTCTTGGAATTTATTATAGACATTTTAATAACAGATGACACTTGACATTCAAGCTGCTGAAAGGTTTACAAGCACTGGAGCACACAATGACACTTAGGCTGAGAAACAAAGATGCAGCATGTAAGGAAGTGCAGGAGCTACTTGGAAATATCCCCTTCCACCCCAAGATCTACAGCAGCCCTGCTTTAGTTCAGAACCCTACAGGATGGCAAGTAAAAAGACTCATCAAAATATCTCCACTGCACTGTACACATCACATCTCCTTCAGATGCAGGACATGAAAACCTATTTAAAAGCACGTCCCGTTCCTCCTTCCAGAGGAGCCCCAGACTTGAGAGCTGACTTGATTTCAGGAGCACAGCTGGAGTTGCACTAAGTCAAGTCAAACCTGCTGTTCATTTTTTTTGCAGGACCTTTGAAAACATTTTACTTGCTCTGACAAGCCATTTCCACAGCACACATCTGGTTTGGTTTAAGCTTCTCCATCCTATCAGTGCTGAGCAGATAAGGCTGTTTGACTCTTGCTTTGCAAGAAACACAACAGGAGCATCACTAATTAAAGGGCTCTTCCTGCTCCCTCAGGACAGTTAAAAGCCCCAATTTTTCCAGAGCCAGCACACTGGATCAAATACTTTTTCATCTCTGAGTATTCATTAAGCCTGTACAAAAGAAAGCTGATTAGCAAATGCAAAATGCCCATATAAAAATAGCCAACATCTGTTTAAATTTAGAAATTTATTTTTGTTTAATCCACAAGCTTTATATAGCTTTAGTTAAAAAAACAAAAACAAAGAACAGTGAAAACATGACAATATCCAAAGTTCAGGTTCCTCAAACTTTCAAAGACCACATCTCTGAAAGTTGCTCTGACCATCCCGAAGAACCGTAACGAGACAAGATTTATGAATTGGGGCAACGACAGCTCACAAACAAAATTTATGGAACTGAAGGAAATTTTTGTTTGTTTGTTTGTTTTCTGGGACTGCTGATCATGGAAACTGCCCTTTAAAAAAAAGAACATAAAAATACAAATGAAATTCCAGTGTTCCAAATCAACATGTTAACATCAAGATAAACCCACAGTGTCCTGGTAAACAACATGCTTTCATTTTCTGTACCACTCTAAATTGCTATTCTTGATTGGCTTTAAATGGAGACTATACAGGCAACAGTAGAGAGCATTAAAATAGAGATGCACTTCCTTGGAATTCTGCAGTGGTTTTACTCCTGGGCAAGCTTACAAACCACAAGGGTTAGTAGCATCATGTAAGTGGATACAAAAGAAGTCAAATGAGACCCTCACAAATTATGCTCAGGGCTTTGTTGGAGTTCAAAGAAACGAGGGGACTGACGGTCATGTTTCAAACCTTCAAAACAAAATTCCTACTGCTTCTAAGAAGTCTCACTCTAAATGAAATTATGCTGTCAATGAAAGAATGTCACTAGTACACTGTGGACACCTTTTGTAATGTAAATCCATGCCCTTTTGTACATGGTGAACCTCAACCTAGCAATTATTACAACAAATGTTATATTCTAAAGCTCAAACACATTTAGCAATTTGAAATTGAATTCTGAGTACAAACCAAATAAAATGTACATTATATCAAAGGGCTGGGCCTAGGATGGTGGGGATACTTGCGCCTTCCTCATGGACCTCAGGGCCTTCTCTCGCAGGTGCTTCTCTAGGTCATCCAGGTTGTCTTCAGGTTCACTTTCTGTCTCCTTCAAACAAACAAACAAGCACAAAGCTTTGCTTCAAACACCCAAACCGAGCCAGGCCCTCGAGGCTCCTTCTGGAACCACGACTGTCAGTCATGCCCAGCCCCACCTGCTTTCTTACTCTGGAACCCTCACAAAGGAAAGCTCAGGCACCAAATTCCTACCTTTTTGGGTTCTGTCTCCGCTTCCTGGTCTTCCTGTGCTGAGGTGGTGTCTGCTGCAGCCACAGCAGCGGTCGCTGCGGCCGCCGCCGCCTTCTCCTTCTTGTGTTTTTTGTGTTTCTTGTGCTTTTTATCCTTTTTATGCTTCTTATCCTTCTTTTTCTTCTTCTTCTTGCCGCCCCCTTCTTGATCTGAATTCTGTAAGAGACAATGCATCCTATTACAGCTCATCCCTAAGGTTTTCCAGATTTTCTGGCAAAGAATGGAAGAGTCCCTGGGAAACACCTCAGGTGAGGATGCCAAACAATCTCTTCTCTTCCTGCCAGGAACAGCCTAAAGTTTGCATGCAAAACTAAGCACAAATAAACCCTGACATCACAAAACTCATGTAGACTCAGAAAATGGGGCTTTTCTTCCAGAATTTCTATATAAATAGCACTTTTATTCACACTCTGAGATGTTAAGTTTGAAAAACTGACGTTACAAACCGTTTTTAACTACGAGAAACACCCCAAGGATTTTTCTCCCCACCCCTCCCGTGAACAATCTCGGCCTTCAGGAATGTAACTTACCCCATAACCCAGCATGGCTTTACGAGCAAACACCTACCCTGGCAGGTGAGGGGCTCTGAGTTGGGCTTTTGGCCTTTTTTGCAGGTGACCAGTTGGCAGAGGGAGAACGAGAGCGAGCAGGAGATGCAGGTCCCTGGTGCTTTTTGGGGGCTGGCTCGGGTGAGCCCGAGGCTGAGCGGGACGAGGACACGCGCCGGGGGCTGGGGGTGGAAGCCCTGAAAAACAGAAGAGGCACAGTCAGGGATGAGACACGAGTGAAAATTAACCCAAGAGCCAAATGAATATGGGTGCTTATGGCTTGGTCAAGCTGCCAATTGAATGATTATTATTTGCTTTGCTGCTATGATACGAAAGGCCAAACAATCCAGCAGCACTGTGGGTCTGTGATGCAGAAGGATAATGCAGCCTGAGAGCCTGGTAAACAATCCTGCTGCTGCTCAGGAGTGATTGCTGCCTTCCTAATATCACTAATCCATTAAATGTCAAGAGAACAGCAATGCTATTGTATCACCCAGTGAAGAGTGCAAGGCTTTCCATTCAGCTCCATCTTCCCAAAACAATAAGCCAGCACTGTATTTTTTACTATCTGCTCCTAACAACAGCATCACACTACACACAAAAAGATTTCCAAGTTTTAGTAGTTTCTCTCAGATGACCACCTCCAAAATTATTTATGAGCTGATGAGAAGTGTTGGTTCCCTTCCACAGTCAGGTTTAAAGATAAAGTTCATTTCTCTTTAAAGCCTCAGAGAGACCCCATGGAGAGACACTTTTTATGCAGGCAGTAACAGGACAAGGGGGGAATGGTTTTAAACTGACAGAGGGCAGGCTTACATTGGATATTGGGAAGAAGTTCTTTACTCAGAAGGTAGTGAGGCCCTTGCACAGGTTTGCCCAGGGAAGCTGTGGCTGCCCCACCCCTGGAAGCGTCCAAGGCCAGGTTGAAGTGGGCTTGGAGCAACCTGGGATAGTGGACCATGCAGGGGGGCAGAGCTGACTCCCGGATTGTTCCCACCGCACTAAACCAAACCCCAAACCCCGGTGAAACCCCAAAGCAGCAAAGACGGATGCTTTTACTTTGTCTTCTTGGGTTCAGGCGTCCTGGACACCCTGCGGATGGGTCTGGAGCTGGGAGACGGGGACTGTCTGCGCTGGGGCGATGCCGACGCTCCCCTCCGCGCCGGCGCTGGGCTGCCAGAGGGGTGGGAAGCTCGAGGCCGTGGCGAAGGTGAATGCCTTTTGTTTTGGGGCGGGGAACGCGTTTCCCGGTTGGACCTGCTGGGGGGAGACCCCTTCCTGTGCTTGGAAGATACGGAAGGGGAGCGCCGTTTGGCAGTGGGGGAGCTCCTCTGTTTTGGCGGCGGCGAGTGGGACACTCTGCGCTTCGACTGCGGGGAAGGGGATGCCCTGCGTTTGGGAGGGGGAGGAGGGGAAGCTGTTCTTCTCTTGGGAGGTGGGGATGGGGAATATCGCCTCTGGATAGGGGGGGAATATCTCCGGGGAGAGGGAGAGCGTCTGCGAGGGGGCGGGGAGGGAGACCTGCAGAGAGAGAGAGAGAGAGAATGAACAATCAGTCCTGCAGTTCACCCAAGGAGGTGAATCGCAACCCAACCCTTCTAAAATTCTTTAAAACTTCTTAAAATTTCAACTAAAATCCTTCAAAAGTTCTAAGAATTTAGAAGGAAACTCCTTCAAGGCTTCTAAAAATTTCAACTAAAATAATTTAAAATGCGTTGCCCAGAGAAGCTGTGGCTGCCCCATCCCTGGAAATGTCCAAGGCCAGGGTGGATGGGGCTTGGAGCAAGCTGGGTTAGTGGAAGGTGTCGCTGCTCGTGGAAAGGGGTGGGACTGAATGAGCTTTAAGGTCCCTCCCAACCCAAAGCACTCCCCGATCTGCCCTTCCACGATTCAGGATCTGCTACGGGCACCCAGCGCCACCCAGGCCACGCACCCACCACCCACCCCAGAGTGCCCTCAGCAAGCTGTGAGCCAAGGAACTGACAGCAGGGCATTCCTTGTCCCATTCCCAGAGGGAAGGCACTGAACCCAGCCCCCCATTCCGAGCAGGTACCTTCGCCGGGGCAGGGACGGGGAGCGCCGGCGCCGGGGAGGGGGGGCCGGGGAGGGCGAGCGTCGCCGCCGCGCTGGGGGGGGAGAGGGGCTCCTCCTCCTCCTGCTGCAGAGAGAAAAGCACTGCTCAGCAAACTTTGTTCACCCCTGAAAACAGCTTTTAGCTACAGGTCTGAAATCCAAAAATCACTTATTTCTTGAAATGCAGAGAGAGAAAAAAAAGGAATAAAATCAAGAGTTGTTGCTAAAGTGCAGCTATCTGGATTAAAGTTGTTCACATTTTCTGCTGGGCCAGGTTTACAACAGACTTCTGGGAGGGAAATGTTAGGGCAACACATACTTGCCTAGAATTTTAAAGGAGGGGAATATTGGTAAAATATTCTTTTTTTTAAAAAAAAGGCAATTAAGATAAAATGACTGGATAAGGGGGAAATGAAAGCAATTATAAAGCAAAGCGGCTCATCTACATAAACTGAGATTCAAAATACAACGTTCTTTTATGATCCAAAAAAACCCCCAGCCTTCAAAGGTACTAACTGTCCTAATTAAACATGCATTTATGCAATAGACAGCTGGAGAATTCAGCATGTTGCAAAACAGATCAAACCCTTTGAATTGCAACCTGTTTGACACAGAATTGTTTGACAAGATCCATCATTGGAACAGAAGTAGTCCTACTTATCTCTTGCATCATGATGCATGCTGTGAGTATCTTCTAGCTGGGGCTTAATTACAGCTTGCTCAAGGGTCATTACAGCAAATTAATAAACCCATCAAACACCCAGCTTCCTGCACCTTCCTGTATTCCCAGATCAACACAGAGAAAACAATATCCCAAATAAAGTGGTGACAATACTGCCTACACAAAAGAAAATAAAGGAGGTGTTCATTACTGGTCTACTAATTGCCTGCTAGTAGTGGTTTCAAATACCTGAAGAACTAAGGAATGAGACTTCTGAAAACTCCAATTATTTGTGACCCTGCACATCAAGATCTTATTTGCTCCTTGCAGTGGTGCAGGAGGGTTTTAGTCAGGGGCAGCAGGAATCCAGCACTGCTCAGCCATCCTTCAAACCAGGTATTTGGGGTGAGGAACCCCAAAGAACACAAGTGTTCAGGTGTTTCCAGCTATCAGCAAGGTGTCATTAACACAAATGTTATTAATGTCAGAGGTTGATGTGAATTAACAAGTAGTGAGCAGGGAAAAAACAAGTACTTATCCAGGACAGCATAAATGACACCCAGTCTAAATGATTTTCTAGATGTAAATCCTACTTAACAGGTGAATTTCTAACCAACCTTTTCATCACTGGCGACTGCCACCTCTTTTCCATCTGCATCCTGAGAGCAGTGGAGGAAAAAAACAGAACAAAACAAATCTATCTGCCACATATCTGAGGCAAGAAAATCAACACACTCAAAGAAAGGTTAGAGTCATTTTCGCCAAACGAGTGCAGCAGGAATGAAATCTTGGAATGAGACTGGGCGAGCTGGACAGGACTTAACTGAGATGTATTTGCTGACAGATGCAGAGCAGATAAACACCAACAAATAGAAAAAAAAAATAAAAAGGTGTCAGTTATGCTCAAGTGAAGAAGGAATTACCGAGGGGAGGACTCCTTCTGTCGTTTCCGTGGAGACGGCGAGGGGCTGCGAGAGTGCGAGTGGCGCCGGCGCCTGCCGACCTCCCCGTTCTTCACGTTGGACCTCTTGGGTCTCTCCTCTTCAGAGGAAGATGAAGAACCAGAATCTACAAACGTAGAAGAATCACTCTCTGGGAAGTGATCCTGGTCACACTCATCACAGTCACTGACATTCCGGCCCCCAAAACGAGGAGCCGCTGTTTATAAAGGCGGTTCAACGAAACATGTGGGTTGAAGTCAAGTGATAAATAAACCCATCAGAGCTGGGGAAAAATAGTTGCAGCAAGCCAAGAGTCCCCATAAAATGGGATTAACCAGGTAATTTAGGTGGTGAACTGCAGTCACTTATAGAAACATTATGTGGACAAAAGCCTACACCAGGCCCAGGTGAATTTAGCAATCTCGAGAATAAGAGTCCAAAATATTACAAATATTAAGAAGAACAGATAAAATAATCCATAGCACACAGTATTTGTGTGTGATGTTAAGAGTTTAGAAGTGCAACTTTTAAAGATGCAAAGCCATTAACAAAAGATATATAATAACCTTTAAAAGTTATACTTTTACTCTCCCTGAGGAACAATTAAAGGGACCTCACTATGAGTGGTAAATCTACAATTAAGTTTACAATAGCACTGCAGAGTGCTCAGAAGTTAATTTTTATCTGTATTTGAACTTAACCACTTCCTGCAAAAGCAAACTACAATCCAGTTTTAGGAAATTTCTGTCCTCCATACCAGATGACGACTGTTGATTTTGCCTCCTGTACTGGCGCCGCTGTTGGACAGAATCTGCTGCAGCCATTTTACCTCCTTTGTCTTCTTCTGGAAGGACACACATGGACAGAACATTTCACCCAAGAGGTACAAACCTGCCTCATTCAGAAGCAAAGTCACAGCAGATCATCGAGCACGGGGGTTTTCCCCCTCAAATCTTAAGATAACTCTGAGGCTGGAATACACCTTGGCTGAGTTTTTTTCCAAGAAATCTTAGCTAGAACGAGGCAGTGTGAGTGATTATCTTTAGCCTTGTGAAAACTCTTGCTTTCAGTGCCAGACTGCTGGGTTCAGCACTTCACTGCCCTTTCCTATCAGGCATTTTTGACTGAAATCCCCACCCAAAGGCAGTGCTGGAAAGCAGGAGCCGTACCTGATTCCGACAGCTCTGCCTTCCTTGGCTTCGGTGCCGGCGAGGGAGACTCTCTTTTATCAGCGCTCTTATGTTTAGGTGCTGCGAGGCAAAAACCAAACGGCTCAGCTGCGACTCGTGACACAAAACACTTGCTTTGTTGCCCATCCAAAGCAGGTGGGTGAGCCAAGAGCACACAGACACCATCCCCTCACCTGCAGCCCTGCTGGGTGAAACGGAGCCGCGGTTCTTCCTGGCGCGGTTCGACTGCTGTGGCGTCGGGGAGCGCCGGGGCTTGGCCGGGGGGCTGGGGGGCGGCGATGGCCGGTGCCGCCGCCGGGGAGGGCTGGCCGAGGGCGAGAGCCGGCGGGTTTTGCGAGGGGGGCTGGACGCCGTTCTCTTGGGAGGCTTCTTTGGCGGCGAGCGGGAGCGCGAGGAGGAGGAGGAGCTGCTGCCGGACAGGGAGGCCGAGGAGCGTCTTCTCCTGCAAAGACAAGGCCGCGTTAGAGCCCCGGGCACGCGGAGCGCGGGCATCGCGGCACGAACGCAGAACTGCGGTTGTTTGCAAGCACAGACACCGAGCCACAGACAACAGCACTTCCAAAACACGGTGGGCAGCCTTCAACACTTGGTTGGTAGAAGAGGAGAATAACAACCCATCTTTCACGGTTACTCTTAAACTAGGCAGTGAGCTAAAAATTGTTAGTGTCACCTCGGCTGGCTTTCTGTCAATCTACAGGCTACCACTAAGCTTTTCCCCTGGGAACAATTAGTTTTGTTTGGGCTCTCTAGCTTTTGGACGGTTAAGAGAATTCTCCGTGTTAGCACGTGTGATTTAACGGCCTTCAGGACAGATCTGTATAGGAGTTTAGTTTGCAAGTACACTGAAATGGTTTTTACACCAGGAGGTAAAAATTCCAGACAACTTAAGGACTTAACAATTCAGAATCAAATCTATCCATCCTCATGTTTTAGTCTTTCATCTTTACTTTGCAAAATTTTAAAAGGTAGGGCCTCAGAATTCTGCGGCAAAATTTGTGGCAAGTTCTGTTGCAATAGTGTACCTGCAGAATCCACCTTTGGCTGCAGAATTCCTGAGAACCTGGAAAAAAGAAACCCTACCTTGAGTGAGATAAACATTTGCTGAAAGGGAGCTCTTGTACATCTTGCAACATACATGTTTGAGACTGTTCACAGTTTTCCCAGTAACTGTGGGAAATGAACATATTGACAAACTCAGGCAATAAAGTCACACCTTGTCACAAAAAGGAAGAAGTGTTCCTTCCTGGAAAAGAGCAACTGCTGCACAAAGGAAGCATCACTTTAGTTCTCCTCCTATGAAGAGGATAAGAATCTGTTCTCTCCCCATGAAGACAAATGTCTGTTTTGCCATTGCCACAAACACATAATTTAATCTGCATGGCAACTGAGAGCTTTGCTACTCGAACCACTGCTTATGCTTCAAAACTGTACTCCAACACCAGAGAGCAGACCCTGAAGGTTTCTAAGTAAAATAACATGAAGGAGAAACACATTTCAAGTACAAATTTGATTTTGGTTTCAATTTTACGTGATGGAAAGGTAAGGCACAATTAAAAAACTTCCAGAGGTAAGATACAGTTACTTGTTCTCATTTTTTCCCCAGACAGGGGGAAAAATATTAAGACTCAAGCAAGAAAAGTCTTAAGAGGTGTCATGTCAATCTATGCTGGGAGCTACCCAGAGCCATTTGAAGAAGTAACAGTTCTGAACTTGCCACTTTTTGAAAAAGAACATTGATGAGAACTCCACCTCAGTCAGAAGAAATCATTTCACAGCTACAGTTGTGTTCCCCCCCCACACACACTCATGAACTGTGGCACTGCAGCCTTTCCATCCCTCCAACCCTACACCTGACAGCACCAAGGTGAGACGGACAAGGCCATTTTGTCAACGCTCCCTCCTCACAGCTAGTGTTCCCTTTGGCTTTGCAAGTTCAAGGCTGTCAGCTGATCTCAAAAAGCAGGGATCTCACCTCCTCACAGGGGACCTGCTTCTCCTGTGCCTGGGTGGGGGAGGCATTCGCCGGGGCGGGCTCCTCCTCCGCGGGGACGGCCGTCGGCGGGGGCTCGGTCGCCTTCTAGGGGAGTAAGACCTGTCATGATCAGAAATTCCAATGAAAAGCAACTACCTAATTCACAGGCTTGAGGAAATTCATCCTCAGGGCACCGAGTGTTGGGTTGCTTTTCTCCGAGTGCATCACGTTAAGGTAGCGTTCAGGTCAAGGTGCAAAGTGCACAAGGCACACACAAGGATTTTACAACATCTCAGCATCAAACCCATCTCCTAAAGAAAGGCCACACAGTTCCCATCATCTATAATATTCATTCTCAACCTTCACAATCCCACTTGCAGTCCTACCTTGACCGTGATCTATGACGCCTTCTGGGTCGAGAATGAGACGGAGAACGGGATCGAGACCTGGACCTTGACTTGGACCGAGTTGGGGATCTCTGACGAGTCTTCTCTTTCTCCTTCTCTCTCTCCTTCTTTGAATTACGTTCTGGTGAAGTTTCCTTAGTCTCTGGTACAGGAGGTTCAGGTTTAGGAGCTTTTGGGATATCACTGTTAAAAATAAAGACTTTATTTATAAACATGTACAAACCATAGCCCACAGAGTAACCAGATACTCCCCTACAACAAACAATCTCCTGCCCATCCTCTGAGACAAGACACTCCAAAACTGTGAAAAGAGTCAGAACATGGTGCAATGACTCCAAGAGAAGAAAAGGTAACACACAGCCTAAGTGCTGGAAGACAAGATGACACCGTCAGGAAGTGAAAAAATAATGACCAGGACAATGAAACCACAGTGGCAGTAAAGCCACGCTGCCCTTAGAATTGTGTACACAGGGAAGAGAAATCTTACTGGAGATTATGCAATGGAGATTATTAAAGGGAGATTATTATTAAATGAATTCTTTGGCTGTTGCAGGGGCATTACCCCAAGTCAAGCCCCGATGACATATTAAGATAATTCCCACTTTTTAAAGGCGATCCACAGCTGTGCCACTCACCTGTTTGAAGTTGCCTCTTGCACAATGGTCTCCTTTGGTTTCACGGAGGGTTCTGGCTCCGGAGTGGCCTCTTTCTTCTCCGGGGCAGGGCTGGCACTGCGGCTCTTGGTGCGGTGGTGGGGGGAGCGCGAATGGCTCCGCTTGCGCTCCCTGCGCACCGGCGACGACCTTCGCCGAGGGGACGGAGACCTGGACTTGCGCCTGCCGGGGGGAAGAGCCACTGAATAAAGCTGGGATAGCCAGGGCTGGAAGCTCTTCTGCACCAGGGAGACTCTTGGCACAATTTAAAGTGCAAACAAAAAAATCCAACCCCCCAAACCAAAACCAACAAAGCCTGGAACAGATAACCCATTAAAAACAGCTCCCGG